TTAAATAGTAAGACTAAACATAATTTGAATATAAAAAAAAGTTAGCTTTAAAAAAGGTTTCTGGACTTATTTAAGAAAATCTATGCAAAACTGGAAAAACCTACGAAAAAAATAATAGCACCACTTCTCTAAAAATAAAATAAAAGATAGAAAAATTACAAATGGGTAACTTAATCTTCAGTTGGCGGTAGCTAACAATTAAATCTAAGTTTAAAGTGTAAATATCTTTTGTGATTTTTGGATATAATGACTTACTATCGATTAAACAAGTCAGGACCGTACCTATAAAGGAATTGAAGCCCAAAAGTCATGATATATTTTCAAATTTATTCGGAAATGATTTAAGACTTTTTATATTAACTGTATAAACTGTCTTTAAAAAAAAACTCGAAGATTTTTGGTTGTGTTATGGTCAAGCGAGTACACAAGTCCAGGGTTCAAAATGCTATGCTATATTTGTAGTTTTTACTATTTGCTATTGCTACGAGAGTTATTTCTATGAATAATGAAGCAGCGCAAGTTTATTTTAGCCGAGCGCCACGCCCCCTCTAACGCCCACAATCGCCCACTAACGATTTTAAAATGGGTCCTGCGCCCACATCTTTAAAGATTTCTGAGAAGTATTAATGCAATTTTGTTGTGTATATTTATACCAGGGATCGCAAGTATGAATTACTTTTTTAAAAAATTTGACAAATAAGTCTTATTTTTCAATTTTTATTATAAAAGTTGACAAATAACTCTTATGCTTCAATTTTTATTATAAGAATCAACAAATATTTGTCAACTTTTATAATAAAAATTGAATTGAAATAACTCTTGAACTGTGGGGTACATTGGTTTAAAATTTATATATGTATAATCTACGCTTTAATACCTTTCTGTTGATATGCCATATGTCCCCAAAATATTTTTGATGATGTAAAAAATATTATTATTATAAAAAATATGTTGGGGACATATGGCATATCAACAGAAAGGTATTAAAGCGTAGATTATACATATATAAATTTTAAACCAATGTACCCCACAGTTCAAATTGAAAAATAAGACTTATTTGTCAATTTTTTAAAAAAAGTAATTCTTACGTGCGATCCCTGATTTATACCTATGTAGAAGACATTTTTCAAATCGGACCATTCATTAAAAAGTTATACGCAATCAAAATATCTACATATATCTATCTCCCTCGCACTCCCTTTAGCTGAGTTACGATTATTAGTCGGGACACCAACCCGCGTTCGCACTTCCTTTAGCTGAGTGCCGGGTATTAGATAGTGGGGACACCAACCAGACTATAGCGTTCTCTTTTGTTTTTTTTTTGAGCAGAGCATTCTATATTACTACAGCTACTGCTCTCAGCAGTGCTATAGTAACTATAGTAAATATCTTATAGCATTTTTACTTGGAAAATTTTAGTAGAATAAAATGCTAGGCATTCGATTGATTTTGTGGAACAATAGAAACATATTTTAATATTTAAAACGGATTGTTTTTTATAAAAAAAAATGGATTTTGGAGTCTTAGAAAAAAGGTTAAAATTTAAGAAACCTCTATGTAGCCACTTAGCATTCAAGGCAAACAGGAATCTGACCACTTGTCGGTCACCAGCTCGAATTCAAAGGCCATCCATCACAGGCAGCCATCACGCTTCTCAATGAAATTGGCAATCAGACTACGATCCACTTTCAAACCAGTAGAGTTGGAGTAAGAAAAAAACTTCAGAATTTGGAAAAATTGGGAATCCTAATTAAATTATGCCTCTGCATCTGAGTCTCCTGAGTCGGAATCATTGTCTTCAAATAACGGAAGATTTTGAATAGCTTCATCTAAATGATTTGAATTAAGTTTGACCAGAAGTATGTTTTCCAATGTATTTTGACTCATCCTGTTTCTGTTGTCCGCCAATATTATTTTTAAGGATGAAAATGCTCTTTCTATGGTGACCTATGAAAGATACAGGTTGTACAGATTATTGTATAGAATAAATTACAAAATGTATATCTGTGTTGGTGGCATAGCAAAGCATATTTGGCTGAGTTCATATAATTCTGGATCAATTGACTTTCTTTCGAGCCAAAAGTTTAATACATTGCTAATTTTCCTGTACGATAGATTTAAAGTCTCAATTTTTCTATTAACATCTGTTGCTGCAGTAGGAGGAGTCTCTGGTAAATGGGAGCTTAAATAATTGTGTAAAATGTCAAAAGAAGAGTTGGTTTCATTGTCGGTTATCAATGGACTTGCATTTCCTTGTTTACTGCTTAATTTTGGATCATGATGAATTATCTTCTTCCATAATGTTTTCAAAAATTCTGTACCATTCTGTTTTTGTTCAGCGTTTAATATATGGTGAAATCTAGGATCCAGGTAAAGGCATGCCAGCATTCCATCGTTTTCAAGCAATTTCTTATTTCTTGTGTTTATACTGATTAGAAGGCTCCGCCCAATCAAAGTAATAATTGCATTCTGAGCGTTCGATGCCACAATTTGTTCAGTTTGCAGTTTGCAAGTAAGCCATAGTGCGTAAAAGTTTCCATAGTGTAGTTGTTCCGATTGAAATTGAATTATAGTCTTTTGTAAGGGGTTCATAGATGTAGTGTAGCCAGAAATAAAATCCAAAAGTGCGTCATTAAAATTAAAATTTTCTTCGTCTGTCTTGTTGTCAATTGATTGTATTGTTATTAAAATGTCCTTTGCTTGGTTAAGTCTTTCTATCATTTTATATGTTGAGCCCCATCTAGTTGGGCAATCTAATTGAGGCAACTTCAGTTTTTTTATGTCAAAGAGTTCACTGTATCCATTTGAAGCCTTCCGTATATGCTTAGTAATGTTTCGGCATTGCAATAAAAATTTGTTTTTGTTTGTATTTTTTGTGACATCAATCCACTATGGGGCATTTGACCTGTTTTTTTGGCATAAATGTGATTTTTACAAGTATTCAAATTTTTGAAACATTATTGAAAACGAATTAAGAATAGATCAAAATGAAATGTTACATACCGCAAATGGTAAGTTAACAGTCCAATGTTAAAATAACAGCTGCTAAAGTCAGGCGCAGCAAGCGAGCACAACGTGTTCATACTTTGCTTGATTTAGCAGGGCATATATGTATATTAGGGCGGGTCGATTTGTATGGGGCCGAAAAAAGTGATGAATCGTATAGGGGGAACGTAATCTTTAAAGGATTCTAAGCCATATTGTCGAACATACTTATGGTCTAAAATGATGTTTGACCCCCCCCAAACGCGAATGAAAAATACTGTTTTTTTGAGGAAAATATCATAGTAGTCAGCTCAGATGTATTATTAAATTTAAAATAAAAATTTGAAATTGATATTCAGTACTATAAATGTGCTGACTACTATGATATTTTTCTCAAAAAAACAGTATTTTTCATTCGCGTTTGGGGGGGGTCAAACATCATTTTAGACCATAAGTATGTTCGCCAATATGGCTTAGAATCCTTTAATGATTACGTTCCCCCTATACGATTTTTGGGGTCCCAAATCGACCCACCCTAATGTATATGTTATATATATATATAAATTAATATCTCTTCAACGACAAGACGTAGAACAATAAAATTTGAAATGGATATTCATTAAAACTGTCTTTACTTCATGTTAATACTACTGTGATGCTTATTTCGTGAGTGTATTTGTAGCAATGGCTTCATATACCAAGTAGTCTCTCTTAAAGGTTTGGAAAAAGAAAGTTCAACTTTGAATAGAGATTAGAAGAAATGTTGAAATTTGTTGAGCCTGTGGGTTGAATCATTTTAAAGGGGGATCAATTCTCGATTCGGGACATCCAGTCTTAATGTGCACTTTTTGCGACTTTAAGAGAAATTCAGTTTTTACGGCACTGCCAAAAATGCTCAAATTAACACTTTATTTGTCTTCTTCTTGTTTTGTAAGATGAAATGTTAAATAAATTTAATGCAAAAGTCTTCGCCATAACATTATATTTGATTTAAAAACATTCCGCGTCTTATTTTCATGGAAAATATTTTTTTATACGGCATATCCAGTATTTGGCATACAAAAATGTCGGTTTTTACAGGGAAAAGTCAATATCTCTTCAAAGAAGAAAGTTTTAAAAAAAATGTTTTTTTGTTTCTTTTAATATGTTTCTCCATTATTAGAAACCATAAAAGAAAAATTTTTTTTGTAGGTTAAAGAAAAAAAAAATTTTTTTTTTGTAATAAATTTATTATAGTGTTTAATTTTTGCTCAAAAAAATGTATTTAATTACTATAAACATATTTCAAAAAGACAAACTCAAAAAAGTTGCTTTGTTTTCGAATTATTAATTAATGCCAAAAAAAACAGGTCAAATGCCCCATAGTGCAATCGCACACAATTGTGCCGTGTGTGCTGCGCATCGACAGATTTGTATACCACCTACGTACACGTCTTTAGTGCTTTCAAAGTTATCAAGGTTTTCTAAGTATTTCGCGTTATTTTCTTCAACAACATGTTCATCCTCAAAATTATTAGTACTTTGATGTGAAAGTATTTTTGTAGTCTTTATCATATTGGCTCCATTGTCAGATGTTATAGAAATTAATTTTGTTATCTTAACGTCGAACTTTCTTAAAGTGCATAGTATTTCCTTGGCTAAGTTTTTTGAAGTACTAGAATTTTGTCCTTTTAGCTGTGTCATTCATAAAATTCTTGATTGTATTTCATTGTTTTGTATAAATTGTGCACTAATTCCAAAAATATTTCGATTTAATCTTGTTGCACTATCAATTTTAAGCGAAAGTATACGATTTCTTAGTTCTTCTGTTATATGTGTTCGAATATTTTTGGCAACCTTACCCAGCACATTTTTACAATTTTGACTATTAAAAGCTAACTGTTTTCCACTCTTATAGTCTAGTCACACTATGTGGGGTAACCTATCGAGTGAGCCAATAACCCCAGTACTCCATTAAAGGTGTTCCACATGGTTAACCCTATTTTTTGGGTTATGTCAGTTGGCCTTTGTTTTGATTTTCATTTGTGACAAAATTCAGAGGAAAATTTTAAAATATGGAAAAAAAAGATATTGAAGCGTTGCTGATTGCTGTGGCTGACCATTTTGATAAAACAATGGTAAGGCTGATGAGCTTAGCAGGGATGTCCATAGAATCCTTCCGGAACTTTAGAAGTCGTCCATCTCGGAGTGTTTGGACCTTGGTATTAAATTAGTTTTTGCAGACTTCTTGTTAATTTTTATTTAAACCAGCCACGATTTGGAACCTTTTGGGAGGAGGATGTTTCCAATAATTCGGATGAGTTCTTCAAGGATCATTTTCGCTTGGAAAAAGGAACTTTTGATACCCTAGTGGAACGCCTACCAAACCTCCGAAAGAAGGATACACCATTTCGTATGGCAATTCCTTTGGAAAAGAGAATAGCGATAGCCTTGTACACTCTTGGGTCCTCTGCTGAGTACCGTACAATAGCGTGTTTGTTTGGTGTGTCCAAGCCGATAGTGTGTCGAATCCTTCATGAGTTTACGCGGGAAGTCATTGTTAATCTTGCTCCGGAGTACCTTCCGCCTGCCTTTTTAACCCAGGAGGCCATTTTAGAAAACGTAAAGGGTTTTGAGGACATGGGTTTTCCACAATGCTTTGGAGCCATTGGCAAGTGCATATTGAAACTGTCGATTATATATACTTATACAAAAACTATTCCTAATAGATGGCTGCCACATCGAAGTGCGACCTCATGCTAAGGACGCTGTGGACTACCATAATTAGAAGGGTTGGTATTCAACCGTGCTTTTTGCTATGGTCGACTATCGCTATAGATTTTCCTACATAAGCGTCGGCAGTCCGGGTCGGTGCCACGACTCAAAGATATTTGAGAATTCAAATCTTAAGCGGATTATCGAAGAGTCTGAGTTAATGGATGAACATTCCAGAATAATTAATGATGTCGAAGTCCCTGTGCTTATTTTGGGAGATTCGGCATTTCGTTTTTCGAAGAATCTTATGAAACCCTATCCGTTTTCCGTAGAAGCCAACGAGGAACAGAAGGCTTTCAATTACAACCTGTCAAAGACTAGAAGAGTAGTGGAGAATGCTTTTGGCCACCTCAAGGCACGATTTCGAAGGATCGGAAAAGGACTAGACAACAGAGTTGAAAAATCTTCCCAAATTATATCCTGTTGCTGCACTCAGAAAAAAACGCATCCTAAATTTGAGCGCGATTTATACTTGATTTCGGATAGTATTTTTTGGGCTTGTTTTAAGAATGAGAATGTTGGGCGTTCTTGAATTAAGAATAAATCATTCTTAAAACCCAAATTATCCGCAAATGTTCTTGATTCCAGAACATAAATTAATAAACAGGACTAAACAAGAACGATTTATCCTAAACCCAAGTATAATTTATTCTAAAAAAATAATTTTTCATGGTAAGCACAAACATTCTTAATTTGATTACTAAAAGTACTTAATTCCAGAAAATTAGGTTTTAGTATTCTGTAAATAAGAATGAATTATTCTCATCAGTAGTATTAAAATTAAAAAATAAAAAGCATTTTGACAAGTACAATTTGTGCTTAAGCCAATGTGAAAATGTACTAATTAATTTAGTTAACGAGTACCAATATTGATTAAAGTAAAATAGAATTGGCGCTAGACTAAAAAAGATTAGTTCACAAAAACTGTATAATGTAGGTACATATGTTTATAAAACACAAGTAGTTCAATATTATTAAAAATTAAGAGTTAGATCCTCAAAACAAGCAAATTTTGTTAAATCGGAGAAAATTTTGAAATTAATAATTGTTATTAAATACTGTGAAAAACGTGCATCATATATGCCAAAATACGATTCGATTTGAAAAACATTTAAATTCATAGCTAAGAAATAAATTCTCAAAACAAGCCGATTTTATGTTTAAATCGGGGAGAAAATAGCAAATTACGGATTTTGTGTCACTCCATTTTTAACTTGTTAAGAGGTGTTTTTGTTTTATATTATTTAAAACTAAGAATTAAATTCTCAAAACAAGTACACGTTGTACTTAAATTAAGTATGCAAATAAAAGTACTTATGTAGGTTTTTTGGTCATCGCCGCGTAAGAGCGAGCGTGGCCGAGCTGTTAGAACGTCCGACTGTGGTGAGTGAGGTTGCGGGATCGAATCCTGGGAGAGGTATGTGATTTTAAGAAAAATGTTTCGTAAGTATAAAACACATTTTTATCTACAAATCTTTATACATTTATGAGTAATTAAGTTTAAGATTATACAAAATAAGTATTGTTAACTAATAAAACAACACAATGATTTATACTATTAGTTTAAGAATATTTCATACTTCATTTGAGCATAGCTTATACCTCATTTACAAGTAAATCGGATTAAATTTGTACAAATAATAATATTAACCCTTCACTCTTTTAATTCTGGGTTCAAGAACATTTCATACTTAATTACGCCCGAAAATGTTCTCAAATTAAGAATGTCGGTTTAAGAATAAAACGTTCTTGAAATGAAAAAACAAGCCCATTTCGTACCTGTCGCCCTTTCAAGACCATTTGGGCTTGAAACAAGCACAATGTGCTTGGTTTTGTTCTGAGTGTGCATCCTGCATAACTTCTGTATCGCCCACAACAGCTTTGTGCCAGAGTCATGGCAGCAAGACGCTGAATTAGTCCAAAGACAGGATACTCCGGAGCACGAGCTTTGGCTAGGAAATACAAATGAAAGAGCAGAAACGATACGAAGAGCCCTTGCAATGGAATTCTTAAATCGTAATGCCTAATTGCCTAATACTTTGGATAAATAAAAATTACTAAAACAAATACTATTTTAATTTATTTATTTTGTATTAATCTTCGTCCGAGGCACGCGTCTGTAGTAAACCCAGCCCCTTGCGATGAAAATCGGCAGATTCTTTGGCAATTTCTCCCATTACTTCCAGCTTCCTTTTTTAAATTTGAAGGAATTCATCGTCCTTACTTGTTTTGCGACGCTTTGTTTGGGAGCCCGAGGGGCCATCAAAGTCAGTGGCAGTGCTTTCGTCCATTTCGTCGCCTTGTCCATCGCTGCCGAAGATTGAGAGTCTGCAAAAATGTCAATTTATTAGTATAATTGAGTAATTCTTATGTTTACTGCGGTATGCGTTACCTGTGCTGTCAGTTGGGTGCACATCCACTGCTCGCGACCCTTGCATCAGGATAGCCACCCGCTCGAAATACTCCCATGTGGAGGGGGTACCTCCCGAAGGTCTAACCTTCGCCAGTTCGATTCTGAAAGCAGGTCGAAGAACAAAAATGTTAATTTATGTTAGGGGTATCCCTATTTAAAGTTACATACCTGTATTTTTTCTTAATGTTTTCCATTTTTTGTTTTACCTCCACATGTGATCGGCCGAAATCCTTAAGGCTGTTGGCCATATCCTTGTATATGTGCGTGTTCTTTAGGACGGCCTCATTCGGCCACACAAATCGGGAACCTAATAATGGCTTTAAAATAATTAATAAAATAAATAAATAAATATATTTTCTTACCTTTTTGTTTCGACATGGTAATCAGAACAGCTTTGCTTAAATTTTTCACTAGGTATGAACCGTCAACGATAGGAAAACAAATACGAAATATACCAAATATACCAAAGACCCTAAATGTACCCTACTTTTTCCCTGCTCTAGGTGCCTATACAAAAACTATGTAAAAAAAAACAGGGTTTTGTCAATAACCCCATAACTCCACCCTAGTGGAAATAGGCCTTTAGTGTTAAGGCCTTGACAAATAGGTTCAATTATAATTTTCATGTTTTTTGAGTCTAATATATTAAAAGGTATATGGTTTTCCGTAACGAGTCCTATGTATGACCGTATTAGTTGTTGTTTATTTATTTCAACTTTAATAGTTCGTTTTTTTATGTACTTATCAGTTTTTACACTGGTGTTATCCGGTGTAATTTTATGGACGTCAGCTAAGTGTTTCTTCAGATTGTATATTCTCTCCTTCTTTAAAATCCTACTACAAATTTGGCACTGCACTTGCGTTTTATTCCAATCATTAAACCTTCTTAAAATATCCTTAGAATCTTTGTTTTTCGCCATTTTTTTCTTTTTTATTCACTTTAGAAGCAGAGAGTTCCGCTGTGACTATAATATATGACTATATATATGAACACACTTTGAATACAATAGCAAAGCTGCTCTAGCTATTTTCTAGATCTTACTATAGCAAATAAATATTTTACTATAGTAAAAAAACTATAGTAGAGCTGAGAGCTGGGAGCTACATTATACTGAATATATTACAGTTTTCCATAAGAAATTAATTTTTTAATAAAATTTCTTCCTTTTATGCTTCTACCACGTATAAGTCCAGGGCTTTAGGTAAGTAGAGAATGGTACACAAAATCTAAAGTTTTACTTGTTCCTAAGAATTCGCAGTTCTAAAAAAATCGATTTCAGTATCGAAGCTTTTCTTATACTTTGTTGGATATTTAAATCCGTTCTCCAAAAACCGCGAATTCTTAAGAAGAAGAGGAACTGATTGTGTGGATACTTTCTCTTCCTAGCTAAGGACATTTTTCTTATAGTTCGTTTGACATTTAAATCGATTCTCAATAATCCCGAATTCTTCAGAGCAAGAGGAAAAGCTTCTTTAGATTAAGTGGACTAACTAAAGACATCAAAAAGTAGTGGTATTTTGTTAAATGTTGACTAAAATTAGAATAACATTTAACGGGATGCAGAGTCCAAGTTCAAGCTTTTTTTTTGTTAGAGGTGGCACGTCTGCATTCGATTTATAGGACTAAAATCGGTATAGAAAAGACGTGGCGTCCAAGTGAGTTTTATTTTTTCCGATCAGAAATAATGATTATTTTTTAGTTTTATTTTTTTTATCAAGAATAGTGATTATTGTGTGAGGTTTAAAATAAAACTTATAATGATTACGGTCCCTGAAAAATACTATCGGGGGTGTCACAGAAAACCATTCCAACTGAATTTCTCCCGAATAGCAAAACTCGGTGTCTCAGACGTCATTTTTGACGGTTTCTAAATTCCCCGTATTTTGCCGGACGTTTTGATAAAATTACCCAACTTACAAATGTTTCCCAAAAATATAACTTTATTTAAGACAACTCTAATGAATTTTATGAACTACCTGCATACTACGATTTTTATACCTACTTCGGTTTATATTTAAAAATATGCTTTTTATAAAACCTCTCGAAAAAATTATCTAAAAAATATCCGTCGGCAAACCGTCTACCTGGCAGTGTTACCAATTAGCTAGCACTTTAAAATAGCAAATTTGTCCAAATTTCGGAGTTAGTTATCGAAATGTTTTGTTAACAAATTATTTATTCAAAGGTACTTAGTATTGTAGTTAAAAATAAAACTTATTTCTGGTAAAAATTTTATGGTAAAAAAGTTGTAGTTATTGAGAAATTAATAAAAACAGGCCGCCTTTGCAAAAAGTTGGCATCACTGTCGTGAAAAAGTACAACATTTTTGTTTAGTCTAATTTAACTAAATCCCAAATCTTTTTTTTTTGCTGCTGTCTGTCTGCGTCTGTCTGTCTGTCTGTCTGTCTGTCTGTCTGTCGCTGTCTGTCTGTCTGTCTGTCTGTCTGTCTGTCTGTCTGTCCGTCTGTCTGTCTGTCTGTCTGTCCGTCTGTCTGTCTGTCTGTCTGTCTGTCTGTCTGTCTGTCTGTCTGTCTGTCTGTCTGTCTGTCTGTCTGTCTGTCTGTCTGTCCGTCT